GGCATGGGCTCAGCAATGTCCCTTCTAAATGCAACAAGTTACAGCGAGGTGTGTAGTGGCACAGGACAACAAGTTCCACTGGAACTAATACAGACATTAACAGCATTCAGTGCACTGCTCATCTCTAAGTAGGGGGCCTGCCTTAGGCTAGGTTCTCACTTATGCAGTTTGCATTTGATCTGTTTCTGCAGTACTTTTTGCGTTTTTTTTACATGTATTTTTGACGTGTTTTTGATGCGTTTCACGTTTTTTCCCAACTTGTTGCTGGACAGATTAAAACAAAACATTTAAAAAACGCATCAAAAACATGTCAAAAACACATAAAAATGCACTACATGCTTTTCTGCAGCATCTCCATTGAAGTCTGTTGAAATAAAAATGCAACATTTTGGTTTAAAAATGTCCCCGACCCTTTCCAAAAAACATACTGGGTGAAACCGCGAAGATGATTTCCCATAGGAAATCATGTTAAATGGACTGCTGTGCATTTCTGCAAAATGCAATGGAAACCGCATAGGAGTGAACCTAGATTTAAGGTTGATTTCACCTGAATGTGGCCACCTTGTCCCAGGGCATTGCTGAGTGTGCACACTGGATAGATTATTATTATTATAATACAGGATTTATATAGTGCCAATAGTTTGCACAGCGCTTAAAAAATGAAGGTAGATATTACAGTTACAATACAATTTGGTACAAGAGGAAACAGAGGGCTCGGCTCGTTAGAGCTTACAATCTAGGAGGAGGGGTTGAGTGACACAAAAGGTAATAGCTGTGGGGGATGAGCTGATGGAGGAAATAAATGGCAGTTTACTAGTTAGAAGCAGGATAGACTTCTTTAAAGAGAAAGGTTTTCAGGGATTGTCTAAAGGTAAATAGATTAGGAGACAGCTTGGGGTAGGGAGTTCCATAGGATGGGAGAAGCTCGGGAGAAGTCCTGGAGGTGAGTATGGGAGGAGATGACACGGGAACTAGAGAGCAGAAGGGAGGATTGAAGAGAGCGGTTTGGTTGATATTTTGATACCAGGTTGGTGATGTAGCTGTGGGCAGAGTTGTGGATGGCTTTGTAAGTTGTTGTTAGTATTTTGAATTTTTTTCCTTGAGCAAGTGAAAGGCAGTGAAGGGATTGGCAGAGAAGGGTAGCAGACACTGAACGGCTGGTAAGGTGGATGAGCCTGGCAGCAGTATTCATGATGGAATAAAGAAGGGATAGCCTATGTAAAGGTAAGCCAATGAGGAAGTTGCAGTAGTCGAGGCAAGAGATAACCAGGGAGTGAATAGATAGATACCCCTGCACATGGGTGAGTGTAGGCATAATCCAAGAACTTGGTGGGCTCATGGTCACATATGCAGCAACGAGGACCACCCACCACACTGGCCCAAATACAGAGATGTTTCAGGAAGTCCCGGACTGGTGCTACATTGTCTGACATGGTGCTTGAATTATAGTACTGGCTAAAAAGAATAACAAATATTCTGTAAGGATATAAATTTTCTTAAATGTGTGCTTGTCTGTTTGCCTGGTGTTTGGCATTATTAACAGATTGTGAAGAAAACAGAGATACTTGGGAAGGAAAAAGAAAAGTTAAGATTGAAATAGTGGTAATTGGAATAGAAATAGAGATCTCTAGGAAGGGAAACAATTCATCTGAAAGAAAAGCAGATAATTGGGATTGATAGAGAAAATACTTGTAAAGCGAAAGAAGACATTTGAGATGGAAAGATAGATCAAAGTTAATAGATACTGTGGTTTAAAACATAATTGGTGTAGAAAGGGAGAAATTTGAATTGAAAAGAAGATCATTAGAGCAAAAGTAGAAATTCTAAAAACAGAGAGGAATAGAGAGATATCAAAGTTGGAAAGCAGTAATGAAGGCGTGAAAGGGGTAATTGCTGTACGGAGTCAGACATTTTCTTTTAGGGATGGGAATGAAGGAAAATAGGAAGGGAAAGATTTGACTGGAGTTAAAAAAAGAGAGTTGATGTGAAAGAGAGGTGCTGACAAAGAAGAGGGGAGGAAAGAGGTGAAAGAAGAGAAGAAAGGAGCAGGGGCAGACTGACCATTTGGAAACTCGGGCACTGCCCAAGGGCCCAGGGTCAGTAGGGGGCCCCATGAGCTGCCCCTGGTACTCTTTTTCATAGGCTTTTTTGAGTTTGGGCAAGGACACAGGGGCCCCATGATCCCCTATTGCCTGGGGGCCCCATGAGTTGTCAGTCCGCCCCTGGAAAGGAGGGGAAGTGAAACGGAGAGGAGAAAGGAGAGATGGAGAAAGGAGAGAAAGGGGAAGTAGAAAATAGAGGGGAGGAGATACAACTATAGTAGAAGGGGGAAAAGAAAAGAGTAATGAGGAGAGGAGCGGAGAGACGAAGAAATGAGAAGAGGGGAAAGGAAAAGTGGAGTGAAGAAGAAATGATAAGAAAAGAGGGAAGAAAAGAGGAGAGGACAAGACTGAAGGGGAGAATTAAGAATAGAAAAGGAAAGGAGAAGATAGGAAAGGAGAAGAGAGGAGGGGAAGGGGAGGAGACTTGGCAGATGATGTTCAATATTGATAAATGCAAATTTATGAAATACTTGCATGCAAGATATTAAGTAGGAGGGATCACTGAGGGAGAATCAGTGATGGAAAAAGAATGGGGGCTTCAAGTGGACCACAGACCTAGCAACAGCATGCAGAGCCAGACCCCCACTGACAGGGCAAGCAATACTCCCATGCATTAGAAAGGATTTTTATTTAGGGGACAGATCAGTGCGATTCCTCCTTTACAAAACAATGGTTTTGCCTTGTCTTTGAGTATGCAGTTCAGTTTTTCTCCCCAATCAATAGAAAGGATATCCTAGAATTAGAAAGAGTCCAGGGAAGGGCAACTTGAATAATCTTAGGCTGCTGTAGACACAGGGGGTGGATTTGCTAAAGGATTTGCCTTTAGTAAATCCACCCCCTGTGTCTATAAGGGCTTAAGATTATTCAAGTTGCCCTTCCTTGGACTCTTTGCACTCTGCAAGTGCAATTGCTCCAGAGCTTAGTAAATGAACAAGGTAAATGAAGAAGCTCTGCTGACTTCCATCAACCAATCAGGTACAAGCAAAATTGCTGGGTTTTTTTTCCTTGCTTGATTGGATGTTCTTTTCAAAGTGAAATTTCATATAATTTACTAAGATCTGGAGCAACTACACTTGCAAAGTGCACAGTCAATTTGCCTTTAGTAAGTCCTTCCAAAAGGCACAATTTAAGGTTGGAGGCAGGGGTGGACTGACCATTCGAGCACTCGGGCACTGCCCGTGGGCCCGGGGTCAGTAGGGGGCCCCATAAAATGCCCCTGGTACCTTTTATAGGCTTTTTTGGGTGTGTTTTGAGTGTGGGCAAGGACACAGGGGCCCCATGATCCCCAATTGCCTGGGGGCCCCATGAGTTGTCAGTCTGCCCCTGGTTGGAGGAAGAGAGGTTTAATCTGAAATTGAAGAGAAGGTTCTTTACAGTCGGAGGAAAAAATCATGTGGAACTTGCTTCCCCAGGTAGTGGTATCAGCTGGGAATACCAAGTCTCTGGGTCAGATTCCTCATGGCTGCTATATAGAACAAGTGATGAAAACAAAGCTATAGGCAAGGCGGAGATAAAAATCAGTCTCTGCAAGTCACCAACAATCAGTAATAGGATTCTTTTTTCATTTCTCATTTGAGCTACCCAACTTAAAAGTTTTTCTTTTTGTTCTGCAGAAGATAAAACGATAATAAAAATCATTTGCGTTACATTTATTTCCATTCACCAATGTAAACAAACTGCTTCCTTACATCTGAAATATTCACAAAGACACAGAGAATAACAAAGCATTTATTTCACAAATTCCAGATCAATAGTCTGAGCAGGCGGCTCGGTGACAGCGTGCTCCTCCACATACATTCAGCATGAAAACAGCAGATTATTTTATCAAGGGTTTCTCTGGCTGCTTCTTTTCACACAGCAAGTTTTAATTGAGCCATCAGGCCGGCTTTAAAGACAAGTGAAGGCTGCTGCCTTGCCGAGAGAGGTACCTGGTCAAACATGATAGCAGAAGGTGTACATGCTAATGTCGGAATTAGCAATCTGCATCAGACGATGCTGAAATATATATCGTGTATTATGAAGTTGAAACAAAATATATTCTCAACTGCAAATGAATGCTGCTCATTTAGGTAATGTACATTGGCTTTGGAAATATTGTATTGTTATTACATATGTGTATATATATATATATATATATATATATATATATATATAGTAGTGAAGTAAATACATAAAAGATGGCTTTGGAAATATTGTATTATTAAAATATATATATATTTTTTTTATTGCAGTGAAGTAAATGCATAAAAGACGGATGGATAGATAGATAGATAGATAGATAGATAGATAGATCACAACAAACAATAATTCCAGACTTTAACCACTTGCCAATTGTGCTATAGCCGCATGACGGCTACAGCGCGGTTGTCCAGTTCTAGGAGGGCGTCATATGACATCCTCCCAGAACGTGCCCTGCTGTACGCCCCCCAGCAGCGCTCACACGGCCCTACGGACACAGCTGATCACCAGGTAAATGCAATTGCCGGTTATTGGCTGCACTTTCCTCACACTATCACAGCGTGAGAAAAGTACTGCCGGTAACCGGCAGTTGTCAAAAAACAGATTGGCAATGATCATCAGGGCACTGATGATTAGTACTCTAATCATCAGTGCCCTGTGGTGCCGCCCAGCAGTGCCACCAACCTGTGCCCAGCAGTGCCACTCACAAGTGCCAAGCAGTGCCACCCACCTGTGCCCATCAGTACCCAGCAGTTCCACCCACCTGTGCCCAGCAGTGCCACTCACAAGTGCCAAGCAGTGCCACCCACCTGTGCCCATCAGTGCCCACCAGTTCCACCAACCTGTGCCCAGCAGTGCCACTCACAAGTGCCAAGCAGTGCCACCCACCTGTGCCCATCAGTACCCAGCAGTTCCACCCACCTGTGCCCAGCAGTTCCACTCACAAGTGCCAAGCAGTGCCACCCACCTGTGCCCATCAGTGCCCAGCAGTTCCACCCACCTGTACCCAGCAGTGCCACCCACCAGTGTCCAGCAGTGCCCTCCATCAGTGCTGCCCAGCAGTGCCACCCATCAGTGCCCAGCAGCGCCACCAGTCAGTGCCATCAGTCTGTGCCACCCAGCAGTGCCCATCATTGCTGCCCATCAGCGTCGCCTATTAGTGCCCATCATTGTTGCATATCAGTGCAGCATCATCAGTGCCAGCTCATCAGTGCCGCCTATCACTGCTGCCTATCAGTGCCGCCTATCCATGCCACCTCATCAGTGCCGCCTATCCTTGCCACCTCATCAGTGCTGCCTATCAGTGCCCATCAGTCCTGCCTATCAGTGCCCATCAGTGCTGCCTATCAGTACCCATCAGTACTGCCTATCAGTGAAGCCTCATCAATGCACATCAGTGAAGGAGAAAAATTACCTGTTTGCTCTTTTTTTGTTTTTAGCGCAAAAAAATACAGTAAAACACCCAGCAGCAATAAATACCACCCAAAGAAAGCTCTATTTGTGTGAAAAAAATTATAAAAAAGTCATCTTGGTACAATGTTGCATGACCGAGCGCTGAAAGCTGAAAATTGGCCTGGTAAATAAGGGGGTATAAGTGCCCGGTAGGCAAGTGGTTAAGTGTTACTAAACTCACAACAATAAAATCAGTCTGTATATGCAGTAAATCATGCTTGTTGTACTCACCCACTGTGCAACCTAAGGAGTTAATCATCTGCATTGTGTAAAAAAGCTGCTTGATTCTGTCTTCTCTGATCATCCCCTTCTTCTACTGTCCCCAATCCATCTGCTGATAGTACAGAGCTCCAAACATGCTCAGTTTGGTGTGTATTGCTAGGGATTTTTTTTTCTTGGGCGGGTGCATGCGATCAGCACAGGGCCAATTAGCACTGTCCAAACAGAGGGTCAGGAATATGCAGCCTCAAAGGACAGTCAGAGGAGAATGAAAACTCCTAAAAGCTTAAACCAGTCCTCAGCTGGACAGTGATATAAGTCAAAAGACTGCTATATACTGCTGATGAGAAAAGGTATTTAGCAGTTTATATTTGCTAAAATAATTGCATTTCCATGTTGTGTGTACTGTGGGAGACCAGATATAGTGAATGCAGGGTCCGGGCTTTAGTAACACTTTAAATGTAGTTCTGAGGATTTGAGAGTTCACATTCATTTTTAATATTATTATTAATAATAATAATATTTTTTTTTTAATCAAGTAAATGCCAAAAAGATAGATATATTCACAACAAGCAGTAATTCTAGCAACTCTGAGATGAACTTTGAGGCTTAATATTAATATTACTTTTTTCCTTAGTTGAGTAAATATGAAAACAATAGATAGCTAGATGGCTCTTTTTCAGCTGTTTGTGGTGGAACATTTGACACCTCTGGCACTGGTCCCTTGCTTGTTACTATTACTTGTAAATACAGAAGTACAGCAAGTGACAATGCTCCTCTCCTGGCAGCTACACAGAACACTACTTTCCCATCATATCCCTATGACAGCAGAGGTAGTCTCATGACGGAAGCTACTCCTGAAGCCCATGCTGGCAGCTTGCACTCACATGCTGTGAGTTGTAGCTGATCTTCTACAGCAGACCCTCTGATACTTTTTTAGTGGTGAAGAGAGGATTGGGGGAGGGATGAGAGCTATCTAATGGAAGTGGGGGGGGGGGGGATGTATAAGAGCTCTGTACTGGGTTAGGGGTGGGGGGGGAGGGAGAATTTGGGTATGAACCATTTTTAGTTGTAAACTGGCTTGTGAAATATGCATTCCTGAACCCTACACTCTGTACATAGTACATTCCTGAACCCTGTACTCTGTACTCAGCACACTCCAGAACCCTGCATTCTGTACATAGTACATTCCTGAACCCTGTACTCAGCACACTCTAGAACCCTGCACTCTGTACATAGTGCACTCCTGAACCCTGCACTCTGTACATAGTGCACTCCTGAACCCTGCACTCTGTATATAGTAAACTCCTGAACCCTGCACTCTATATATAGTAAACTTCTGAACCCTGCACTCTATATGTAGTGTACTCTTGAACTCTGCACTCTGTATGAAGTGCGCTCTTGAGCTCTGACTGTTGTATGTGGCACACTCCTCAACCCCTGCACTCTGTACATAGAACACTCCTGCACGCTATACATAGTACACTTCTGAACCCTGCACTCTGTACATAGCACACTCCTGGACTCTGCACTCTATACATTGCACAATCCTCAACCCTGCACTCTCTATGTAGTGCACTCCTGAACCCTATACTCTGTACACAGCACTCTCCTGAACTCCACACTCTGTACATAATGCACTCCAGATCCTGCACTTTGTACATATGCACTCCTGAACCCTGAACTCTGTACATAGTGCACTCCTAAACTCTGAAGGTAGCTCTTCACTCTGTAGGTATCATAATCCTCAACCCCTGAAATCTGTGCATAGCACACTTCTGCATTCTGTAAACAATGCACTCCTGAACCCTGCAGTCTGTATATAGCACACTCCTGAACCCTGCACTCTGTACATAGCACACTACCTAACCCTGCACTCTGTATATAGCACAGTCCTTAACCTGGCACTCTGTACATAACACACTCCTGAACCCTGCACTCTGTACATAGTGCACTCCTTAACTTTGCACTCTGAGTGCAGCATACTCCTCAATCCTGCATTGTGTACACATTGTACTGCTGACCTCTACACTCTGTATACAAAGCACTCCTAAACCCTAAACTTTGTATTTAAAGCACGCACTGCTAACAATGCACCACTGTTAGTGTAGTTTGGCCACATTCACCCTTTGATGTGGAGTACTCTCCCCCCATTGGGGGTGAGGGGGTGGCTTGGTTGATTTCCTGCACCTACTCTCTGAGAAAAAAAGCCCTAGAGAGATAGATATTCACAAAAAGAAATAATTCTGGAATTGAAATGTAATTCTGTGATGAACTTTTAATTTCTTATAGTCAAGTAAATACCAAAAAGATAGATAGATAGGTAGATAGATAGATAGATAGATAGAAAGATAGATAGATAGATAGATAGATAGATAGATAGATAGATAGATAGATAGATAGATAGATAGACAGATAGACCGACAAATAGACAGACAGACAGACAGATAGATAGATAGATAGATAGATAGATAGATAGATAGATAGATAGATAGATAGATAGACAGATAGACAATAGATAGATAGATAGATAGATAGATAGATAGATAGATTCTAATTGGGAGATGAACTTTGATGCTCCTGACAACACATCAGAGGTGTTTCTTATGGGATGAGGCTTTTTTGTGAATGTTTCCTGTCTTTGCTGCTCCCTGCCTTGATATTTGATTTTCATAATACACAGGGACCCTGGGGCAAGGCATTCCAGCAAATTAACGAGCCACACAGATCAATACCCTGACACCGTAAATCCTCTCCGACAAGCTGCTGCTAGATTGCTGTCCCTGCCTGATCGATATGTGAAGGCAAAACACAGCTAACCAATTCTGATCTGAGAAATATGGATATTAGGATGGTGGCAACGTTATGCTTTTAATAAAACAAATTGGGTTTTAAGGAACAATATAGCAGTAACGCTGTTGTTCACCATGTAAATGAAAGCATAATGATTTTTATCCCGCAGTTCTTTAAATCATATTGGCAGAAATTTCTGAGTTGGCATTCCTGTCAGGATGTAGAAACACTGATCCAGGATGGTTGACATGCAGGATACTAGTTTGCACCCCCTTGTGAAAAGAGGAGAGACTTTGAGAAAAAAGGGGGTGTTCATAGTTCTATAACACTCTTACATTTTTATTAGGTTAGTCCACCTGAAAGTGATATTTTAGTGATCTATGAAATATGATGGTTACATGGAGATCTTTTTGCCATATTATAAATACCATTCAACTTGGTCAGCCTGAGTATAATCCTCGGGACTGATGCGTTTCAGAAAAGAGTTCCTTCTTTAGGGGAAGACAAGGGTATACCAGATCTATAATACAATCATAGAAGTAAGTACATTATACATAGTATGAAAAAACATAACAAGTTTGTTAGCATAATAGAATAATCCAGAGACATACTCACATTGTACACAGATAAAAAGGATCACAGAAAACCACAGATCAGACAACTTGGCTGGTGTTTGCTAACCCAACGAGAAATTCACAGGGAGGGGCATCCCAAGGTTGACCATGCACATACAGAGGCCGTCTGGCATATACTTGTATACATGTTATTGACCCATGTGTCTTTTATTATGCTTGTAATGAAGATTGGCATTCATTTTTCAAACGTATACTTATGATTTTGCTGGAGGGGGTCTTGTTTTTTGTATTATGGTTTTTTAGGGATATTAGCAAGACATTTATTTGAACATACCACTCAGCTCTATTTTTTTTTCTGATCTCTCTGCCATAAGTCTTTTCCTGTCCACTTGGGAATTTTGGTTGTTGCCATCCACCTTTGTGTGCACCAGCATCTCCTGTTATGTTCTCCATGATAGAAAAGGTACAATTTGAAGGGAACCTCTGGATTAAAATCCCTTAACATACATACTTGTGTAAAAAATAATAATAATAATATATATATATATATATATATATATATATATATAATATTTAAAATGCAATGTAATGAACAAGCCATTATGTACTGCAGTGCCCTGTGGTTTTTTAGGTAGTACTTGTCGAGAATGTCTAGCTTGGATTCTCCATACCAGAGGCAAAAGTTAATTGAAATGTATACAGAATGATTGTTTATATATTTACTTTCATAGAGAATAACTAAAAAGGAATAAAATACAAAACATTGCAAAGAATTAGAGTTTTGAGAAAGAAGAGACATGAAAATTCTCATTTGCCAAGTTTTTTTTTTCTCTTGCCCCTCTTTTTGTATTGTATACACTGCCTATGGTGTATATTCAGTGTAGAGTACATTCCCAGCTCAGTATCGCCATCTACGATGCCAAGAACGGATCTCGGTATCAGAATGCTGAGTCCAGCATGAGTTGCATCATTAGTGGCTTCCCTATGGTAGACCAAGAAGAATACAATGAAATGATGTCAATGGTGATGATAGAGTGATGACGGAACCAGTGGAACACAAATGTTTCACCTCTGGCGGAGATACCACTGGAAGGTAAGTGCATCATATGGTGCAATTATGCAGTGCCCCCTGTATGCAATAAAGTTCTGCTTTAAGAATTTAAAAGTAAATATAAACTTTGCATATTAATAATAAAGGTCATGGAATCCCATTAAGTTAATACAGTTTAAAATATCGAAATTAAGTGAGAAATAAATGTAAAATATGTAGGCTGGCCGGTTAAGTAC